TAGATCCTCTTATTTTGAGTTTGGATCTGATTTTAATATCTAGTGAGACAGGGAGCTGCCTAGACAGCAGGTCACATATGATTTTAATACTTGGATAGGTGAATGAACACAGAGATTGATAGATAGGTGTAAAGATGGATGCGTGCACTCAGACTGATGTATTACTCTTTTTAGTGTATACATCTCTCACACATCCCTGCACTCTGTAAGTACTGTCCACAAAGTCAATTCTACTATAGCATGCATTAAATATTTCACTAAAATAAATAAATACACGACTCATAGGGACATGTCTCTTGAATGTTAGCCAGTATTTTATGCAAACCTCTTATTTATGCAGCAAAATGAAAAGATACATTTACAAAGGCTCTGAGGGAAACTGTAGATCTTTGTCTGTCCTCTGACACTTATACCAAATTCCTCTTTCTCCTCTCAAAAAAGCATCAGTGCTGAAGAGAAATCAATTTTTTTGCTTTTTTTTTGCTCTTTTTTTGAAACTCCACTCGGCAAAAAATGAATAGCAGAGTATCAGTCATTTTCCTGGGACATGATGAGTTAGAAGGTTTTTGCTGGATGAGTTTGTATTCTCTGCTCTGATTACTGTTTTGTTTTCCATTGATCCTCCTGTGCTAATAAAACCCAGGCTGGAGTGAACAAAAGCTTGCTTCTTGTTCAAGTAAGAAACGTGCCGAGTGCATACCATATCATTAACATAAAAGTTTTTGAAATAATACTTCTTTCTAGACAGACTGTATTAATTGCATCAAGCTTTTTACAGCAGGGTGGTCTAATCTAGCTCTTCTCATTGGCTGACTCCAGTTATAAAACCAACTTAAAATGAACATGGTGATATAATAGATGGAGAAAAAAGTATTCTTTTAAAACCTATGATTTAGTTACAGGGACTGCTTTTATCTTTACTGTCACCTTAACCTCTGCCAAGAAAACACCAGACTAGTTAAATGAAGCAGTAAGTAGAATTTCAGTAGCCAAGTAAATTGATATTAACTTTACAAGATGACTGTGATTTTCAGAAGGTCCTAATGACTAACACAGCTGATTCCTTGAATTAGCAGGAGCTTGTTCCTCTCTTCCAAGATATGGCCCCATGCCTTCCTCTATTTTAGACCTTAAATTTCACAGCCCTGTCCATTAATCACTGCTGTCCATGCCCACTTGCTGTTTTTATACATGCAGCTAAGTATCATAATTGCTTTCCACCTCCTTCCATCAGCCTACATGTGGGAAGGAAGCAGTTTCACTGCTTAGATGAATATATGTGTATTGGACAGATTTAATTATCTTTACAGGGGTATATAAAACCCTCATTTGTAGGCCCAGGTCCAAAGAATTGGGACCAGGTATATATGTGAATGCAGGCACAGGGGATTAATTATTCCCTGTGCCATTACAATCCCCTTTGTCTTATGCTGATTACGATCCTCTTCCTGGGGCTTTTGCACCACAGTATCTTCAAGGCAGGGACTTTTTTCTTTGGAGAACACACTGTAAAGTGCCATGCACTTCTGTGCTGAGATTTTCAATGCTCATTTCTCGTTAACTTTAATGGGAAATGGGCATCCAAATCTCTTAGGCAGCTTTGACAATTTAAGCCTTAATGTACAATATTAATAAATCAGCATCATAAAAAGAGCCTTATGAAGATGTATTGTGAAAAAATAGCCCCACAAAAAGCGTTGCAGTGTATGTGTGCATGCACACAGACATATACTTTTCTTTACATAATTATGTCTCTCAACAATCATTTGCATGTCTCTGTTATGCAAAAAAAAAAAAAACTGTGTGTGTTTTACAGTTACTCTGAGCAGTTGCAATTCATTGAAATGAAATAAAAAGCAGGCTCAAAAAAGCACCCTAATCTGGCAAGGGGTAAAGCAAAATGAATGCTTTGCCCATCCATATTTTAGGTCCAAGCTACATAACCCTGTGAATTTCATTACTCTATTCCAACTTCTAATTAAATAGGCACTAAAAACATTTGAACGGGAGAACCCAATTCAACTGACAAAAGCTTCTAGGGCAAAATATATAAATAAATAAATAGACCGAGAGAGATTGAACCAGTGGTAGGGATTTTTTTTAAAATCACATGAAAAAACATGGACTTTTACTTGCACATTCCTTATCCTGGGGTGCCTTGGACACAACGAATTGAAGAAAGACAAAGACCACAATCAGCACTGGCTGAGCAGCACAGTGGACATCCAAGCAGACCTCCCAGCACCATTTGCTGTGACTGAAAATATCAGCAGCACATTTTCTAAAGATCACTAACAGGTCTGGATGAGGCAGCACAACTTCCTCTGTGCATGACTGAACGCTACTCAGCATCTCAGACAATCACTCTTATGTAGGTCGGAGATTTCCAAATGCAGTTTTTACACATGTGTACCCCAAATCCCACCAGCAGCCAGACATTTGGATTCTCCAGCACAAACTGCTGTGAGGGACTCTTGAGGGTCCAGTTTGTGAGTGCCCAGCAAAGATTTTGGAGTAGCTACAGCTTCAAGCCATCAGTCGCAGTCTGCTTGAGAACTGCATGGAAAATCTCCGGGTCCTGAATTAAATAAATGCTGAAAAACAGGAAAGGTAAGAAATGATGAAGGATGAGGGGAGGCGGGAACTGCTGATGGCTTTTGTTCAAAGAAGTAACCAATTCCTCAGAAGCAAGAACAGGGCTGACAGAATAAAAGGCTAATCAAGTCAGAGAGACAAGCTGATCTCTAAAGCTGGAGCAAGTGACTGTTGTAAATGTCTATATTTAAAAAAAAGGCACAATGCAGGGATTGTCACTAGATTATTAATCAACACAAAGAACTCACTTTTCTATCATTTCCACAAAACATTTTAGGCGACAGAAAGAACGCACAACCCTTGCCTAGGCTCAGATACAGTGAATACTATGGGAGCTAAGAAAGGGTTAAGTAGACATAATCTCCTTTTTCAAGGGAAGAAAATGTTTCTTTCAAGCAGACCTTGACCAACTACTGTCATAAACATGTAGCATGCACTTTGATAAAGCCTATTCTCTAAGTGTGGCAGACTGCAGCAGTAATTACAGGAAGCCATGATAACAGGTCTCCCTCTCCACAGAGCTGGCACCGCTCTCCCAGCAAACAGGCAATTCCAAAGGCTCACAGCACACAACTCCAAAGTGAGAACTCCAAGTACACAAAGTACAAAAGCCTCACCTGCCCCACATTCTTCAATAAGTTACTCCTTCCTTCCTTTTCCATTTTTAGGTGTACTTGCTTCCATTCCCACTAGCTGCTGCAATCAGAAGCAAGATGGAACTGGGATGTCCAATTCAGTGTTACAACTATGTGCCTCCCAAAGGCATGCACATGCATACTACACCAGTGAAGACAGAGAAGACAGCAAAACATGAGACCAGTTCCAGTTTGATTTACTGGTTCCTGGGAGGAGAGGAGGCAGGGAAGCTTTCTGAATTTCTGATCCAACACTCACCATTTGCAAGAGCCTGTCTCGACATTGGTCAGCCTGCCGAGGCTGATGAAGCAGAATTTCAGTAAAACTGCATCCTCTGCAACACTGCATGCAGCAGCTTGGACAGAAAATGTAACCAGACCCTGCATTTACTGATGGCACCTCACCACACAGTACATTGCTACAAACTCAAAACCTGCGCGCCAGTGCAAGTGGATGGGTGTAGGCTGAGCATCTTCCAGGCAGCAAGGGAGCCTTCTCTGTGTGCCCTGAGCTTCACCCAGCATCTACACAGCACCCTGCAGAGTGCTCTTAGCCTCCTCCTGAGAACATTTTATCTTTCAAGACCCAGGGTTTCCAAGATACAAATTCAAATTTCTTGCAGAACTTTATATCTCACTTTATCACATCAATGAGAGATGTACAGGAACATTCTCATGAGATACAGCATACTGTAGCCAAGTGGTACCAGTGCTTGTGGAAGGAAAAAGGTAGCACAACAAAGCTTTGCCAGCTTCAGGGGAGAAATGAGGAGCCATTTCCCAAAGGCTTTACTCCTGACAGTCATTGCTGTCTCTCTGAATCCTTTGGTCCTCGCGCTTTACTTATCCAGCATCATTTCAGGAACTCCTTATTAAAACTGCATGCACATTATCATGAATGAGGGCTGTGGGATTTGGCCCACCACAGTGAGAGTCCATAAACTTTTGTGGATTTTGCCACATCTGCGTTTTCTTTTAAACCCTCCTCATTTTCACCTCACCAGCCCAGAGTTCATCATAGACCGAGTCTTGCAACTGATCCATGCTCAGAAACACCCACTGATTTCAAAGAGATCACTGGGTCTGAAATGATGGGGTCTGGTGACAATATGTCTTTGGCTAGCTTGGTGTGCCTTCATTTTCATTTTCCCCTCCTTGTGGTGATAAAAGTCAGGCATCCAAAGGGAATAAAGGCAAAGAAAAACTGATGGAGTAAGAGGCCAGGGGTGCACGGTGAGTTACCAAGGAGCATTTTCTCAAAGCAAGGGAGAAAACAGCATGGAGCACATACATCCTGCGTGCACATGGATGCGGAGGAGAGCCTTTAATATGAATGACTGAGGAGGACAGGCAAAAAAGAAGGAAATAAAAATGCCTCAGATGTAAAATGCTATCCAATTAAGCTTAAAATGAACAGCCTAAAGAGATGAAATCTTGATACTGGGGTGTCACATTCTGCAAGGAGTCTCAGACATTTGTTCACAACATGGCACAAACGGCCCAGCAGTGGCCGCAGGTGACAACTGAGGGTGGGCAGGCAGGAGAGGAGGGATGAGAAAATGGAGGGAGTCGCAGGCCCCTTCCCACTCCCCATCCTCTTCCAGGCTGGAGAGGGAAGGAGGAAGGGAAGTGCTGGGGAGGGCAGGTTAGGGCATTTTCTCTGCCTTCCCCATGCGACCCAGCAAAGGCAGCTCTCCCACAGCAAAGACGACATCACTTGGCAGCACTACTGACCTTCAGATAGCAACAAAAGAAAAGTATTTCTATTACCTGACAACTGACAATGACATCCAAATGTGCCTGACGTCTCAGTCTGAATCTCAGTCTGAGTCCCGCCAACTGAGACTGCACGTGCACCACAGCAGGGCAGGCTAAGGCAGGGCGGGAGGGAGGCCAGTGCGCGGAGAGGTGACGTGATCACGGATGTGTGAGGGTGGGAGGAGGCAGCTATGGGAGCCCCCGGCAGGTTTGCAGGCCTGGACGGCCCTGGAGAAAAAACAATAGAAAAAACTGTCAGTCGGATCTAAGTTTGAAGGGACAGAGGAGGCATCAAACAAGCGAAGTGGGGGCTGGCTGCCTAACGCTCAACACGCTTGCTCTGAACCCCTCTCTGGGGCCGGCTGAGGGCTCACACTGGGTCAGGGAAGAATAAGAAGAGACCTGGAGGACCTGCAAACCCAGGCTGAGGGCCTGTGAGGGCATGGAGCAGGGTGAAGGTGGGGGATGGCCAGCCCTGGCGCGGAGCAGAGCCAGAGGCGGCGGACGTCGCCACCAGCGCCTGCTCAGGGACCAAATCAAAAGGGGGATAATTGTTTTATGGCTGTGTTAATGCACTGAGCCGACACAAAACTGGGCAGCCTTTCTGCCGAGCCACTGCTGAAGTGGGCTCCACACACCAGCCCGGACAAAATGCAGTGACTTAGAGCTCAAATGGCTTCAGTGAGGTGCCAGGAGCCGAGCTCCCAGAAGGAAGCCTTGGCGGCCATGTGCTGCCTTCCCGCTTGAGCTGCGGCCAGTTGTGCATTTTGCATGCCCCGATTATGCAGGCTGATTCCCTACTGAGCCTGCGAGGAAGGGAGCAACCTTTTTCCTGGTAGCTAAAAGATGATATTGTAACCTACAACCTTATTATTTATTTTTAACCCCTCTAGGAATCACCTGCCATTTAAAAGCCGTATTTAAGAGTTTTCTCCTGCTCCACTGGAAGTGCTTGCTCTTGCTGGCACTAGTCCAAAGTGAACTCTGTAGCTTTGAAAAACTAAGATACAAGTCTTAAATATCAGCATACACCTGCACAAATACAGACACACACACACACACAGAATCATGCAGGAGTCACGTTTTTGGCTGGCACAAATTAGCAGACTTTAAAGGGAAGCTGAGTGAACGGCACCACTTTCCATCCCTTGGGAATCCCAACCTCTCCATTTCAAACTATTCCTGCCACTAAGTTATTAACTAAAGGGTAGCTACTAATCAAGGCCAGTTTCTACATGAAGAAATGTGGTGGAGTAGTCGCCATTAAAAAGTTGGCATTTGCCAACAGTTACCACACAGTGGTAGATCAGAAACCACAGTTTCCCCCTGTATTTAGATCAGGAAATATGTGTGCTAATTGTGGGGTACCTTCTGGCAAATGCTTTCTTACTAAATGGTGGCATCTCTGGCTGTGCATGAGTGTGCACCTTGCAAATAGATGCAAACACCATGGCAGCAAGCAGAAATATTTATCTGTGTTCCCTCCAACCCTAGAAAAAAACATTCCCTAAAGGAACCTACACTGTGGCAGAAAGGAATAATATTTATCCATGCTCCTTCTGACTCTAAACATGCAACATTTTCCAAGGGAGTCTCTCCACCTTGAGAGTCCCTATTCAGAAACCAGGCCTGTATGCTGATCTGACAGCTACACGTGTGAGGCAAATGGGGATACTTCATCCTTGGCACAGCATCCAGCGCTCCAGTCTGCAAGGACTGCATTTGATTTTGGCGTTTATCTTAAATGGCTAAGAGACCACCAGTGCAAAACATTTGTGTGAAGCTTTTGCCAAAACCACAAGTGAAGAGTATAAATTCCCTGTGTAAATACTTGAGCTTCAAGCATTGAGGATAAAATTTGTGCTGTTTTGTGAGGACTGGTTTTAAATAGAAGCCATCTCTGTGGCTTGTGGGACAAGGAAGGACTTTTTTTTTATTTTGGGAGCTCTGTTTGACTTTTGTAACTCTTTGATCTCTCAGGAAGAACTATACAAGCAGGTATGATAACTGCTATCCAGATCCTACCTAAGTTGCATTTCTGGCAAGACAGTGTGCTGTGTATGAGGAAACTGATGTTGGACATGGATTCTGTGTGTGTAGGCACCACTCTACTGCCACTTTAACAGACATGAATAATGTTTGCTTTTTTCATGGAATAAGGAAAGAATAGTACACATTCCCTCCAATGACTTAACAATTGTATCTTATATTCCCAATACAATAAAGATTGCTAGGCAGTGTTGAGCTGTCTGGGCATTTGTCCTTGCTTAGAAATTCATCACCTTGAAATGGGGACTTAGAGTAGAACCGCAGGGCAGCTACATCTCAAGTTATGCTGAGATGTGTCTGTGGTTTCACCATGACTAAGGGCACAGCTTTGCAGTCACTTGGCCCTCTCTATATCATGATGCCTTACTATGGGTTTTGAAGGAGATAATCACACAGAGAAACTACATGAAGTCCAGCAAATGCATCACCTGACTCCACTGCACAGGGCTTTAATGTGGAGGTCCATGGGCCCTGGCACACAACACTACCCTGAGAGTAACAGCCTCCTCTCCAGCCCTGGTGTGTCCCATACGTGCATTGGCAATGAATTTAATGCATTTTGCACAGCCCTGAGGTGTGCAAGAAGATGCAAAAAGCTCTCACCAAGGAAGGCCCTCCCAGATCTTACTCAGCACATCTCTAGTGTGGAAAGAGAATAGAGATCTCAAATAGGAGATTTCTCACCATCTGGCCAAAGGGATCCTGTAGGAGCCTCCCAACAGTGCTACTGGGGGCAAAACAGCAATCTGTTTTAGCAAGATAGCTAACAATTTTACCAGAAGAACTGTATGAACCAGATGCCAGTGAATGGTTGGAACTGAAACTGTCCCTCAGAAGTTCTTTTTTATGTCCTCACTCTGGAGAAGAGATGCTCTGGGGAAACCTTATAGCAGCCTTCCAGTACCTGAAAGGGGCTGACAAGGGAGGTGGTAAGGGTCTTTCTACAGGATATGTGATGATAGGACAAGAGACAATGGAATTAAACGGACAGAGACAGGTGTAGATTAGGTTTAAGAGAGAAATTCTTTACTGTGAGGGTGGTGAGAGACTGGGACAAATTACCCAGAGAACTGTGCTCAAGACCAGGTTGGATGGGTCTTTGAGGTGTCCCTGACCATGGCAGGGCATCTGTTCCAACTCAAACCATTCTATGATTCTATGATTTGATGTTGCCCAGGACAGATGTAAATTTGAGGAAATCTGAAAATTGCTAACCTGGTATTACAGAAGAATAAGGATTAGTAAGGGAGAAGAAGAGTGGACCAAGAGAGACTCTGGCAGATGATAGGGATTACCACCAGTGCTCCCAAGTCCAGCAGTAAGAGACAAATATTGTGCAGTTGCCAGACCAGGAGACTTAAGTCTGCCCCAACAAGCAAAGTCAAATCAGGTGATTTCTCCTCCCCTTTACTACCACTTCAAGGTTTACTTCTTTGGTACTAATCAGGACAGTCCTACAGAATCAGATCAAGTGGAAAATTATGAAGATGGAAATCATATCCAGTGGCCTCAAGGAAAAGCAGGGAGAAAAGGAGGGATCACCATTAGGTACATGATACCTCTTCATAGTTATATAAAAAAAAGCACTTGTGTTCAAAAATACTCAGCTTGTATTTGCTGGGAACATATATTCCCATTTCATCTCTTCATCTCCTCTCTGTGGGATCTAAGTGTATTTTTTATTCCACAAAGGGTCTATTTAAAGCTGAAAATGAAGATGGAGGCTCTTCAACTTAACTGTTACAGGTAGCGGACAAACACAAAATGAACAAAGATAAAAAGAGAGATAGATTAAGTAGATAGATAGATAGATAGATAGATAGATAGATAGAATCTTAAGGTGGTGCAGAGAGTATTTTGCTGAGCCCACACAGCAAGAGGCAAGCAAGTGGAGCTGATCTCTGGAATTCTACATCCAATCGACCACATCACATTTTCAAAGAGAAAACACACCTGCTAGCCCCTGACTGCTGCAAAGGGCATAGCCACAATCAGCAGCAAAGGGAAAGCAAACCACAAGAACTGCAGTGCAATCTTAGAGGCAAATATCCCATCTGGATGGGGAGAGCAGGCACACACGTGCAGCATTGTGCTGCCTGGACATCCCTGACACGATGTGTGAGGCTCGATTTTCCTCCTGGGTCAGCACTGGGAAATCATTCACCTGCACTGCAGATCTCAATTATATATTCTGCATTCATTCTGCACGGAGAGTTTTGCACACAGCATGAGTGTGAAACACGCACAGGGACTGTCACCAGGTAAATAAAACATCTGCATTGCTGATGGTAAAGGAAGATTTTGTTCTCGTGCATTAAACAGGCTCAGCATTTCCTCAGAACCTGTACATGGCAGTAGCTCACAGGTGATGTTGTCTCCAATGCACCACTAAGGGTAATTTTCTTTTTTCTCTCTGCTATTTTTAAACTTGCAAGGAAGAAAATAAGCTAAATTGGACATGACCCCAGATGGAAAATGGAAAAGCCTAGATGAACCTGACAAAAGCCACAATCAAGGCATAAATTGTATCCTTGTGTTGCCCCTCTCCCAGAGCCTAGACATGTCTGGCCATATGATATGGTGTATGTAAAACACCACACTCCTCTGGCACATCTGCAGAAAAGTCCCTGAGCAAAATACAAAGAAGGAGCCAAAGCAGCATTCAAAATGTCCCACCTCATCATGGCTTAGACCTGGGGAAGCAACCTTAAATTAAGAGACGTGGTTTTACATCTCATGTCACATGGAACTGCAGCCACACGTAGCTGGTGTGTGCCAGGGGTCTGTGTGGGTGCCTGGGTGTGTGTTCATGTACAGGCAGACAGGCAGGTGCACAGGCAGACGTGTGAGCTGCTTAACAGGGCACAAACCAAGTTTTTCTGTGCCTGTGTTTCTCTGTGCCTGTCTGGTGACAGAAAATCCAATCAATAGCTGGTTAGAGAATAAAGCTCAGCTCCATTATTAAAAAATTCTCTTTCAATAAAAAGAAAAACATCTGTTCAAACAGTCTACAGCTACAAATTTGGAGTGCGGGCTGAAGCATCATCCCTGCCCTGTGCCCATCATGTTCAGGGAAAATACTGCAGATGTTTTGAGGGGAGTTTTACATGAACCATTGCAGCAGGTTTCCAAAAATTATAGACAAATCCATCCACTTATCTCTCCAACAGATTTTTTTT